TTTCTCTCCCTCTCTTTTTCCCTCCCTTCCCATCTCTCTAAAAATAAATAAATAAATAAATAAATAAAATCTTTAAAAAATAGTTATGTGTTTACTTTAATGCATATTAGGAAAAAAAATCTGTATAGTGAGTAGCTTGTCATTTTGTGAACATTTCTGCTCAGTCGGCCTAAGTAGATACAGCTGCAAATCTGCCTTCCACAGCCGTGTGTGTGAGATGTGCCGTGGTCAGGCAGTGGGCGCACAGGCAATGTTTTAGAAGCAGTACGCGGATGACTAAAATTTGGGAAATAGGTTAATATATTTCCCTTCACTAGACTGTAAGCTCCAGGAAAGAGCTTTTTTTGTGGCCCATTCTACCCAGTAGGACTGGCACATATGTAGACCTCAAGGAACATTAACTGAAAGACTGGACAGGTGACTGAGTGAACAGTCTACTGACTCAACAAGGGCCCTTCCAGTGACATCGGGGCAGCCATAGATCAGATAATTAGAAGGGTGAGGTTTCTTTTGAGGCTCATCCATATGGATTGCACACAGTAGAGACAGATTGGAGCTTTGTAGACTTAGAACATCCTGGCTCCAAAGCTGTCTTCTTCTCTCTATGTGTATCACATTGATTTGGGTTGATTTAAATTAGGGAATGATGTAACAATGTATACTTGAACATACATGGTTGTTTTCAGAGCACTTAGAAAGATAGTAGCTTTTTAAAAGGGAAACAAAGCTAAAAAAAATAGGTCCTGAATTTCATGTAGAGACTTTCTTCACTATGATAGTTAGTTTTTTAATGGAAAGGACCGCATTTATCCATCTTTCAATACTGTGTCTAGCAGAGTATCTAAATCACGGTTCGGCCAGTTGTCAATGTGTCACCTCTACTCCAAGTCCATCTTCTTTGCCACATTTTGTGACCCTGAAGCTGGACCCTGTAAACGTTTCTCCTTTGCCAGCTGATGCAGCTCCAGATTTGTCAGCAGAGGGCACTGCAGGGACGCTGCAAGAGGAAGGGGCTTTTCTTTGAGGCTCTTGTGCTTTGCTCCTTGCTCCTATGACACAGTGGCCAGTGGGCAGCTTCCTGTGGGAGACCCCGTGGTCCACAGCCCCGGCAAGTCGCGTCCAGAGAGCTTCACTGGGACCCCGGGGGGAAGCTCCCTGGAGCACTGCAGTGAGGTCCTCCACGGTTCTGGGGGCCGCAGCCAACCCTTGTCCCGTGAAGTCTGCACCTCCTCCTCGAGACGTGACCAGCTTTTAAGTTTGTTCCTTCCTCCAGCGCTTTCCTCGGCCTTGGGGATAATACCTGCCCCCTCACACCTGCCGTTCCAGTGTTCTTTAGCGGTCCCTCTACCCCTCTTAGTGGTCAACAATGTTTCCCCTAAAATGTTCCCACTCAAAGTTTGCTGTGGTTTCTATCCCCTGAGTCGACCCCGACTGACACAACGGCAGATACTCCATAAAGGATGAATGAATGGGTGAGTCAGTGGGGAATCGATGGAAGGGGCTTCATTTCCACCTCATTGCTGCTGTTAATTCTTGGGAACCGGACTGTCCGGCATAGCCCCCTGCCCTATCAGACACTTCCAAGATGCTCAGGTTGCTTGGGACTTAAAGGTTTAAACACTTTCAAGCAACCTACAAAATCCATCTCTCTTCTTCACATCAATTAAATATCATATGACAGATTCCGATAGCACCAAGAATAAAGAAACAAGTTTTTCCTCTCATTTGTCTTCTCTGCACTACTGATCTGGACTTGCAATTTTGTCATGTACTATCAGAAATCATCTGGCCAGCCCTAAGACCTGAGCCGTTTCCCAGGTCAGAATCAACATTTCTAATGCAGGTGATCTGTTTTGAGAATGTCATAGATTTTTACTGTTTGTTCATTTTTACACAAAAGTGCTCAATTCTTAACAGAGTTAGTTGACATTCCCAGGCTATAAACAGTCCTTTTACAATCCACCTAAAACAGGTTAGCATATAACAACATTCCTATAATGTATTTTGGAGAAAAAGTTTTGGGCTAAGGCATATCAGTAAAATAATCTAACGTCTTGCTCTTACATATCTCTGGGTCAGACTCAAACCAAGCTTTTTTCTAAGGCAGGAAAACATGAGATATGAAAATCATAATGAAGTGTGTTTCTGTGATGACTTGCACTGATTACCTGCCTACACCTCCAGCACAGCAGCCCAGTGGACCAGGCCTGAAATTGTACACAGGTCCAAACAGGGAATGCCCAACCCTTCATTAAGGCTGATAGAAGAGTACATCAAGGACATGGTGAGGTTTTGCTTGTTTATGTAATAAAATAGACACCCATGTTTAGCTGCTGAAGGTGTAAATTTAGCCAGTGTAACAGTGGGAAGCTAAGGGAGAAGGAAGCAATTTAGAAAATACCTCCTTACCACATCACAAGAATCCTTAGACCCATCAGAAGACCCCAAAACTAGGTCCTACAGTATTTTATAAAACAACCCTTCCTCCCACCCTTAGCTTCAGGCCATGTGTGACCTGGTTTCTCTTTTTAATTTTATAACTAGTGAGGAAAGCTAACAGTGTAGTATGTCATGGTCAATATGTCAACCACAAAGTGAGTACGATATTACAGAAAGATCCCAATAGTCATTTAGTAAATTTCCTTGGTAATTGGAGAGACTGTTAGGTGAATCCCGGGGACAGGGAGTACCTGATGCCAGATCCCCACATGGCAGGCTCTGAGTTCTCTGGATTTTAGAATAAATCTTACGTACAGTGGCGGAAGGAGTTTCTTTCTAGAGGTGGAGGACAGGTTTAGGGAGCAGAGTAGGAAAGGGAGATGCTACTTTTTATGAGCCATCACTTCAATTTTAATGGTTGTCAAATCCCTGGTAATTCTGAAAGGGAGAACATACAAGTCCGACTGCTTGGTTGGACTTAAGTATTCCTTCATTGCAGTACTACTCCTGACAATAATATTTATTTGTGAAAGTGCAGTTGAAAGCACATCTTTTTTAAAAAAGAAATATTTATTTTTAGGGAGGGGGCAGGGAGGGAGAGAGTAAGAGATACTTCCATGTGTGGTTGCCTCTCCTGCGCCCCCTGCTGGGCACCTGGCCCCAAACCCAGGCATGTCCCCTGACTGGGAATCGAACTGGCGACTCTTTGGTTTGCAGGCTGGCGTTCAATCCACTGAGCCACAGCAGCCAGGGTGGCCATCTTCGTTTGACATGTTTTTACCATACTCGTTGATATAATAACCCCAAAATGCTAAGGGTTTAGGGTTCCCCTACCCTACCCACCCCATGGTAGACAGTACATCCCTTGGATGTATATGAAAAGTGATGGCTCTATTTATATTTTTCTCTTTGTGATCCAACTCACCCATGAGAGGCCAATTCTTAGCTACCCTAAGCCCCTCAAACATTTAGAACGTGGAGCTGCTTTTTTAAGTTGATTTGGAAAAGATGGGAATTTTTAAATCCCTATGTCAGGGGCATACCAGTAACAAGGGTGTTTATCCTATGATAGTCATTTTGGGTAGATAAGAGGGTAGAGAAGACAGCAATTTCTAGAAATTGTTGGGGGCTGGGTTTCTAGCTTTTTCCTGGCTCGGTCTCCTTTTCATGTCTTGTTTAGAAATGGTTATGAAGCAGGAATTGGGGACGGCACAAAAGGGAGGAATGGAGTGGAGACTGTGGGCGTTAGGGAGGGAATGACCCAAAGTGCTGAGAATTCCGAGGAAGGTGAGGGGTCCAAGTTCCCAGGGCTCTAAGAGCAGGAGTCTGCCAGGACCCGTGTTGGAGGGGCATTGGGTGTCCCGGGAATCGACAGCATTGCATTCATTTTGCACGATTAGTAGCAGACCAGCCGAAAGAATTCACTAGGCCCTTAGAAATGGTGGTTTCTGGAAAATAGGATGTCCCCCTTGTTTCTTCAAGAATGAATTGTGTCTTTGAAAACACTAATGTCATAATAGAGGATTTTAACTGAGTCTCGTTTTTGGAAAGGAGAATGTTTACGTTAAGCCATTTTTAAAACTTTGGCTGTCACCCATTAATGTTGTGATCCAATTTAATTGATCTTGACCAGCATATTTTAGTAAAATGTAATAGAAAAATATAAGTGCATCTCATATATATATAGTTTTGTGACAGTTTTTTGTTTCAGTCGTACATAGGTACAAGAGCATGTATTTGCTGGGTTGTGATGGAAAATGTTGTTCTTAGTGTGAACAGGCTCCAAAAAGTAGAAAAATATTGCTTTAGGCCGCTTTAAAAGGAAACAGAGAGGTTGATTGTGGTTTGTAATTAGCAGAGTGAGCAAACACTGCCCAACTCTTTTTTTAATTGGTGCACACGCATATGTGAGTGTGGGCGTGTGTGAACGTGCATGTGTGTCATCTGATTCTGCCAGGACATCTAGGCAACAGTGTACTTTCTCCTGAAAATAAGAAGTCATAAGATTCAGAAGTTTAAGGAGATGTTGCTTAGTGTGATAATTTCAGGAAATCTGCTGGGGGAACTATAAGCTGCACTTTAAGGGTCTTGAGATGTAAGAGATGTGCCTCTTACCATAGACTTAAAATTGTAAATCAGTCCTTGAATTTTTTTAGATCATAGTACCTTTGCCTAAGAACAAGCTGGTCAACTTTACAATAGTAACATAATTTTGTATGATTTCTACTGTGAACAGAAATTGTCAAGTGAGTTAGTTATGGTGCTTGGCTCTTCAGGGGGCAAAGTTCCCAAATATATTTCCCAAGTGGATCCCTAGGAAAACATTAGTATTGCCTTAGGTCTCTAAACAAAATGAAAAACGTTGCTACCTTACTTTTTCCTATCAGTCTTTAAGATTTCATATCTGGTGACAAGCTAAGTGTAGCAAACAAAGCATCCACACCTCCGGGTGCCAGGGAAGCCCTTCCATAGGAAAATGAGATACCATGATGCAGAGGAACTCAGAGACATTATATTATTCTCTATTGGAACATTTATTAATACTTGTAAGGTGCAAAAAAAAAAAAAAAAGAGACAGTGATGTGAATTGACAGGCATCTTCTTCATCAGAATTCTGTTCTGCAGCCCAGGAGCTTGGTTGGTTTAGGCATCATGTTCTACAAGGCTGAGGTCTTGGGCTCCGTCGCCTCCAATGCAAAGCAAGGGCCCGATCTTCAGTACCATGTGATGCGCTGGCAGTTTTTATAAGTACATGCTGTTGGCCATAGGAGGCGTTATCATCCCTTCCGGGAAACAGGTCACCACCGTCTCCACCAGCACATTGGAAACAAAAGCATACACACTCCTGAAGCTTTGTACAGAACGTCAGGCAACTCGTAACAGTTGGCCTGAAAATGAACCCACATGACAGGCAAATGGCTGCAAGGCTGACCCAAGGAAGAGGGAGGGCAACAGGGATGCTCCATGTTTAAGGAACTAGAGCATGTTCAAGACACATTGAAGGGCTGGGGGCCACTCCCTTCCTCCCAGATCTGACAGGCTCTTTTCCCGATTAGACAGTGAGCTGACCTGGTTCTGCAGTTGACCATGTTCGGCTTGCTTTGCCTTGTCCTCTGACACTTGGATAGGGGTTTTTGTCTTATGCCAGGGGTTGCTAACTCTTCCCACACCTGGATTTCTGAGACTTGCTGTTTATTCAACAGGAACCTCCAAAAGTCTCTTTTTACTTGACCGAAAGAAATGAATCCACAGCATCTTTCTTCATGCATCTAATGCCCTGGGAGAGAATACAGCAGCAAACCAGACGGCCAAGGTTCTCAGGGGCCCCAGTGCCCAGGATAGTGCCGGACACACTGTAGACACTTCATAAATACTCAGTGACAAGTACACGAGCGGTAACTGACCCGAGGGTGTCACGGTCACAGTAGTGTTCTTCCACAATGCTCCAGGCCTGAGCCCACAGACTTCTGTCTCATCTGTTAGCAATGGTATTTACATTTTCTTGGCCAATGTTATACTTCAATTTGATTCATACACTGAAAACGATGGACCATTATAAATATCTTGGATTTCCTTTATGGATGCCTTTTTCTGGCCAAATCTTTGTAGTAAAGAGATGTTATGCCACACTCTACTACTCCTAACTTGCCTGCAAAGATTTATTAATATAAAATAAAATTGTCTTATCCAAGTTACCAAAAAAAGTTATGTAATCGCTTTGCTGTAGAAACAAACGTGAGATGGTATTATTCACAATCACATTCACTTGGTTCAGTTCCTCAATTGTACCATTGCTTCAAACTTTCACCAATTGTCATTTTTCTTCCATTCTCAATATGACAGTTCAACTAGGAATTGTTTTGCAATTAATAACTTCATTTTTTTAGAAAACATGAACTAACACTCTCATCAGTTTTTATCCACAATTATCACATCATTACTTAAGAATCCCCATTTTCCAAGAAAAAATTTCTAACAGCAGTGGAAAACAAAGGAAAATCTCATTTTACAAGTAAATGTAGTATAAGTAGTAGATAACTGAATAGCTTATACATCATATCCTATTATCATTGTCAGTGGCTGCATGCTAATCAGTTTAACTGCCTTTGAGCTATATATTTTTAAATGTGATTAAAACATACAGTCTCACAGTAAATTTAAATGGCTTATTAAACACCTTTACAGGGTAACAGTATCGTATGTCAAAGATGAATGGTGTTTCTAATTTGCCAGCCACTTGGGTCAAGTTTACTTTAAGCAGGAAGCATATTTATACAAGTGATCGTAACACAAACGGTCTTTTGGGAAAAGCTGTTTGTGAGGGTTTAACATTTTTGAAGTATGCTTTTGTTTATCTTCTAAATGGGCATTTTATAGGCAATGGGCCAAAGCACCTCAGCGCAGGCGTAATGGCCACCGATGCTGCCTGAATGCTACAGGGTTCTTAGGGGTGCGGAGAGAGGGGGCGGGTGGCAGGGTTGAGCCACCTCCATTTGACTACCATCCTTCAGACCTCCACTGAAAGAGTGGTGGGGGACAGCAGCAGCATCTACAGTGCCCAGGAGCTTGTTGGAAACATCACAGCTGCACCCCAGACCCACTGAACCAGAACCTACATTCAAAAACACTCCCCCGTGTGGTCTCTCAGCCCTGCTGGGACCCACAAGCCTCCGCTTCCTGGTGGCGAGGCTCAGCTCATGGCATCCCTGTCTCTCTCCTTCTCACTCCTAGACTCATCCTGTTTAGAGGATAACGACCCCTCAGCCCATGCTTCCCTTTCTTTCTCATCACTCCCGCACTCACTTCCTGGACCCCGATGAATTTACCAACATCGACGTCGTTGCTCAAGGACCCACTTCTCAGGCTGTCCACCGGACATCACCCAGGGGCTTCCTGTTGCCCGACAGCCTGCGGAGGGCCAAGGCCTCAGGAGGACTGCCGCGGCTCTGCGTTTGTTCGGCTCTCTTGTGCCTGAGCCTCCCGTTCCCTCAGCGACTCTGCGCTGAGATGCCGTCCTTCCAAACCATCCACCAGAGCCCAGCCTCCCCTTGCCACTGTAATCCCTTCTGGTCTTGAGAAAGGATTTCCTCATCCCTGTTTCTACTCACGGAACGCTGCCTTTCTCTACCCTAGTCATAAGCCTTTCTGCTAATGTTTGTGGGGCATCAATAGGACCAAGGGGAGTCACGCCGGATGTTCGGGGGAATGCGGACAGGGTTTACTCAGTCGAGGAAATCAAATGCAGTTACTAATGATCCACTCGGCAGCCCACAGACACGCTTCTTGTGGCCCCACCTTTGCATTGAAAAGCTCAGCCTGCAGCAGGTGCCCAGAGGCAACTGCACCTCCAGAACAGACCCAAACTACCCAGCCAACTGGCCCCTTGAAGCGATGGGGTCCCCTCTGTTCCAAACTGTGCTGGGGTAAAGGGCTCTGCAAGAAAATGAATGGGGCGTTTTAGAGGTGCATTGCTTACAAATTCAGGCTCTGTGGGCCAGGGGTTAGTGCAGCCAATGGTCAGGGGAACAACCTGCGGTCAGCTGGTGATGACCCCTCTGGAGCGGTCAGCACCCAGAACAGATTTCTTTAATCGGAATTGACTGGCAGGGGGAGAAACAAGATTGCTTTCTGGCCGTAGTGAGTCCGGGGACCACGCTTGCAGCTTCCATTCTTCTTGAGCCCCACGAACCAATTCTTTTCTGCGTGCTTCTTGGACGTGTAGGTGTTGTAATGGTTTTCCTCCAGCCTTTCCAGGAACAAACATTCCTCATCCGGTGTTTGCTAAAAAGATAAAACCAGAAGAGAGTAGAACTGTTAGTGAGTGGTTTCAAGCGGGCTCCTCTGCCTAAAGCTGTGTGACCCTGGGCCAATTTCTGAGGCTCTCTGTGCCTTAGTTCCTCCTTCAGTAACATCGGGGTGATAATGTGGTCTATCTCTGGGCCTGGTGATGAGACGTAGAGCAGGACCCAGCACATAACGAGCCTTCACTATACATTTGCTGTTACTGTAAGCTCCCCTCCTATTTTGTTGTCTTCAGGACCCGATGTCTGCCAGCGAGGAGATCCTGAATGACTGCGAGCACCTGAAGGGTGGCACAGGGGCCTTTGTCTCTCTAGAGGCCTGGCCGGCACAGAGGCGTGGCCATGAAAAGTGTCCAAAGCAGGTAAAAGCAGACTGTGATGCAGCAGGGGCATTTAAGTTTGGACTTAAAGAATGAATGAAAACCTACTAATATTACTTTTCATCCTGGTGATTTTCACTAACAATAGCAGGATTTTTATCTTAGCATTTTAAGCATGTAAACAATTGCACAAAATGTGCCCTAACTTTAAAACATATCATGGAACTTGAAGTTTAAAAAAAAAAAATTGGCCCTGGCTGGTGTGGGTCAGTGGTTTGAGCGCTGGCCTGCAAACCAAAGGGTCGCTGTTAAGACTCCCAGTCAGGGCACATGCCTGGGTCGTGGGCCAGGTCCTCAGTAGGGGGCGCATGAGAGGCAACCATACATTGATGTTTCTCTCCCTTTCTCCCTCCCTTCCCCTCTCTCTGAAAATAATAAAATCTTTCTTTAAAAAAAAGAAAAAAATTGTACTTTTTAAGAACTACAATTTTACTGTAAAAAAAGAAAGAAAAAAGAACAACCCAAAGCCCACCCACCCTGATATAGGCAACTGTTAGCAGGTGACATACGTCCTTCCTCACGTTTTCGTGTACGTACACACAGAGAGAAGTAGAAAAGACCAGATGGATATAGACTTGTGATGCTATCAAAATGGCATGCTATGTCTGTTGTTTTAAAAATGGGCAGTAAGCCGATGAAAACATTCAATCTCACTAGCAAGAAAATGCAAATTAAAAAAATGATATAACATATGTTGGTGATGATATCTGCAAGGCAAAAAAAGATTTACGAGTTAGTATTGGTGAGAGTGGAGGAAATAGGCACTCTCATGCGCTGTTGCTGAGGTATATTGGTGGGATCTTTCTGAGGGTAGTTTGGCAATATGTATCAAAGTTTTAACCATGCACTGCCTGGGACCCAGCAATTTCACTTCTAGGAATGGATCCTTAGGAGATAGCTGAGCAAGTGTAAACCCGTATTTTCAAGGATGATCTTTGGATATAATGGTAACAAATTGGAAGCAACCTAAATATGCATGGAAAGGTGATTGCTTAAGTAGACAGTGGTACATACATACAGTGGAGTCCAACTCAGTTATAAATTTATTAAGCTGGAAAGATAGCTATAACATATTAAATAGGGCAGCTACTTTTAAAAAGTCTACCAACTTTTTTTTTTAACTTGGAATGCATCTGTAGAGAGTGGGAGGAACCCCGGTTAATAGAACTTCATATTTGTCAGGATTTTAGAATCTGCTTCATTATATTTGGATATAAACCAATTGGTGTGTTAAAATACTTATGCTGTATATTGACTTTGCTTCAATTCCAAGTCATGTGGTCTCTATATTATCACTTTACCCACAGTAGCGGTGAGTCCCTTTTGGGTGGTTTCCTGTTTTGTTGCTCAGTATTCTCCATTTGTGGGCATGTTTGTCTATTAGGCTGTAAGCCCCCCTGAGGGGAGAGATGGAGTCTTGTCAGCCTTCTGTCTAGCCCGGATGTAGAACCTTGCATATAATAGGTGCTCGCCAACAAGGTGGTGATTGTAAGTAATTTGACTATTGAGATCATGTAAAGCCCTCCGTAAAGTTATCTTTATTAGTAAGGAGCGCTGCAGCAGGCAGCCTGCTGCTGCTTATTCATTTGTAGTCTAGTGCAGCGACAGCTGGGTGAGACATTGGGTCATTTTAGAATGAGGCGAGTCACAGATGTACTATTTAATTGGGTGACTCTGATGCCCCTAAAGGAACTTATCCAGACATCAGTGTTTGAGGTTCCTTGTCAGGGGTCGGCAGCTTTGGACCTGTGGGGGTTGCCTGCTCATCCCATGATGCCCCTCAGTGGGCACGGGGCCTGTGTTTTGTGACAAAGCTGAGCAGGGCCACACCCCCCACCCGAGGTCTCTATTACACGACAGCAGCAGATACACGGAGAATGGCTGAGTCAGAGGCTGAGTCAACAGGCCAGATCGGAGGTGCTGCATCTGTCCCCCAACCGGGATTTGTCAGCCAGTCTTACGCATTTGGAGCAATGCCAAGGGCCTGGGGCATAACAGCTGATTCATGGCAGTTGTTTTCGTTATTTTCTGTTTTATATTTAGCACGCTTTCCCCCACCACATAGGTGACATATGCCCACTGTAGAAAATTTGGAAAATACAGGAAGGCATTTGCATATTATAAAATCATCCATTGACTACCCGTAGAGATAAATAAATTAATGTTTTGCTTTATAGCCTTTCAAACTTATTTTTAAAAATAAATATGTCCTTTCCACACACACATACAAATTTGTATCAGGATGGATTGATACCTAAAATCGGTTAAGAGTACAAGGCAGAGTTCTGAGATATGTTAGAACTTGTCTTTATCAATGGGGAAATATAAAAACTATAAGGCATAGTATATTAAGATCTCCCCCTGGAAATATCAGGAGAATTTCAGTGACAGCCAGGACTATGGCGGAAGAAGCAGGAGGGTTGTTTGGAGCCTAGGGAAAAATCGGGTTTGGGAGGTTCTCCCCCAGTATTTTTATACAAGTCAAAGAAGTTTATAACAAACATCAGAACCGACTTAAAGGAGGAAAAGCCATAAAACTGTATATTTAACCTAAGAAATAGTCAGGGCAAGGGATGTGTAAACTGATTATTTGTTTCATAGTTACCGTAATGGAGCGCCTCCCATGTGCCAGGCGCGCTGGGTGCGGGTTCTGCTCACTGTCTCTCTGACTGCTCTAAGCCTGTATGCAGGCCATTACCATGCATTACTCTCCTCATTTTAGACAAGGCTCAGAGTGGGGAGAAGTCACTTGCCAAAGTGGCAGAGGCATGAGATTGAGTTATGAGCCTGAGATTGAATGATTGATTGGTCAATTGATTGTATTACCAATTGGAAGACCTACCCTAAAAAAAAAAAAAAGAAAGTATACCGCCTATGTGGCAGTCACTGCCTGGCTCCAAACCCTTTAAAGCTATCCCACTTGATCCATTTCAGCAGGCAGCCTACCAGAAGCTACAGTACCTACAACTCTGATGACCTCATCTCCCGACCCCTCATACCCACAGGGGAAAAAAAAAACTGAACTGTGTTCACATCCCAAATTCTGGCTGAGATGACAGTGTCAAGAAAGGGTTTCCTGTGTCCACTGCCTCTTGACAATTTGATACAAGTTAAAGGGAGCCCAGGACCAAAATCCCCTCCTTGCTGCCTTTCCGTAATGGTACATCTTAATACAAGTGAAGAAAGGGGTTTGGCTTGGGCTATGAGTTATAGCTAAAATTTCATTGTTAGTTGTTAGGATACAGAGAAAGGATCATTCAAAACCTGGGGCCACTGGCTTCAGCTCTCTTTCTAGACGAATCTTTTACCAGAGGTATAGTAAGGGAAGAATCACATGACCTGTATTTATGTTCTTCTCCCACAAAGACCACCATATATGGAGTCAAAACTATACAAAGCATTAGCTATAGGAGGGATAGAGAAGAAATGTAGAGGATGTTAGCTTGTGAATGAATTCTTTGTGCTTCTGAGGGCAGGGACGTGGCTCATCCATATTTACATCCCTGGCAGTACCTGACTGTACTAAGACTGGGGAGGCATTTGATAAATGCTTGTGGAATTGAGTTATTAAACTTTTTATTTAGGAGAGCCTTCCAAAATGAAAGGGCTGTTTTCAAAGTTTTACATGTGACATGTCAGCTACTAGAATCTGGGCTCTGCAGTTCTTCTAAAAAGCATAAGGAATACCCCTATAACAACGTGGTGGGTATTCAAGAAACGTTTTTAGAATGAATGAAGTGGAACTAGGTATTCTGAAATGACTGACAGATGACTTACCAAAATTTCAATCAATGTCTCCTCTATGTCTATGTGATAATACGTTTTGAGTATTTTGAGAGAATACCGCAAGAAACTCTTTTTATGTTTGTGCCTAAAATAAGGTAGCGTAGAGGGTGGGAATCCTACTGGAAAAAATAACAAACAGAGACTAATTGTTGCTTTATAGTGTGTATCACTCAACGTAACAAGATTTCTGGAGACCACAAACCTTGGCCGAGTCTGGAAGCTTGTCAGCCTCATACTTACTGAGCCGTACAAAAGCCCATCGGAGTCCATGGCCAAGTACTGGCCGCTCCCGGTGCTCTTTATATACACCTCCCCCACGCTTTCCGCACTGAGCTGCAGCTGAACTGAAATAAAAATAACATGAGCAAAAGTAAATAAACACTCGGCCTTTGCCAGCAGGGCCCGGCGGCCAGGACAGTTAGCCACGGAAAATTCTGCTCATTCCTTTCGGAGCCCTCAAGGATGAGCCTTGGATGAATCAAAACAGAGAAATACAGTTCCTTTTTCTTTGCCCTCCAAAGAAAGCTGTCCCTTGGGAATTATGTTTTTCAGAGGAGGAGAGGTAAAGCAGGAGTGCCCACCCACTTTCCCCACCCCTACCCCACCTCCCCAGCCCCACCTCCCACTCCCCCACCTCCCCACCCCCCACCCCCCACACCATGGCATTGTGCCTCCCTCCTTTCTCTTTCTTGACACCTGGAGGGAAATAACCAGGGGCAGGAGCTGCGTGCACTTCCCTGGACTCCTGTCCAGTGATGCTGGGTGCTGTGGAGGGGGCGGCGGGGCAGCCTGCACGTGTTCTCCCTCCGTTATCACCTGCCTTGGGGGGTGTCTTTTCAGAGCCCGGGCCTTCTAGGTGAGGGGGCTTCTCGTGGACAGAGTGCATCAACCCCACCCTTTGTGGCAGTGCGGCTGGGTAGAGGCAGAGGGAAACCCTGGCTTCTGACTGGGAGAATGACATACTGACCTGGAGTTGCAAGAATAGAAAACTGTGGTTCTCGCCTGGGGGTGAGTTTGTTATTCAGGGGCGTTTGGCCATGTCTGGAGACTTTTTTTGGTTGTCCCACCTGGAGTTGGGTAGTGCTATTAGCATCTAGTAGGTAGAGGTCAGGGATGCTGCTGAACATCCTACGGTGCACAGGGCAGCCCTTCACAGTAGGGAATTGGTGAGCGCAAAGAGTCACTATTGTCGAGGCTGAGAAGCCTTGAGGTTGAGGACAAGGATGCAAAGTCACCCTCTCCCCATTCACACTGACTGATGTGTGCGCTGCTGGATATCAAATTGGAGTCCAATACCCATTCAGTAATTATTCATTTGTTCACTCTCCCCAGCGTGGCTCTAGAGGGAGGTGCTTTGTTCTTTTTTTCAATCATCACCCAAGGGTATGTCTATTCTTTTAAAGAGAGAGAGAGAAACATTGATGTGAGAGAGAAGCATCCATGGGTTGCTTCCCATACACACCCCGACTGGGAATTGAACCTGCAACCTAGGTATGTGCCCTGACTAGGGATTGAACCTGCAACCTTATGGTGTATGGGATGACGCTCCAACCAACTGAGCTACCCAGCCAGGGTGTGGAGGGGGTTATTTTGATGGTTTACATTTGGGAATCAAAATTAATTTTGGACTCTCCTGGACCATGTCTTTGGTCACTGGACTGTCACAACCACTGTTATGACTAGGAGTGGAATCGAGACTCAGTGGTTCCACAGAAGGCGAGTTGCCCTCTCTGAGGGTTGGCTTTGTCAGAAGTCAGGGGGCAGGGGGACTGGAAAGAACACCAAGCTTTGGTTGGCACATTTCAACCCCTCATTGCTTTTTCTTTATTTTTCTTTCTTATTTAATTTCTTTGCATAAGAATTATACCCCATGTTTCAAATTCGGAAACAATGTAAGAGGAGAGAATAAAGCGTCCCCCCACCCCTCCCAGCCTCCTATTTGCATTTAGTGGGGATAGAGCAGTAAACAGGGCGGATGAGACCCTTGTCGCCCTCCCAGGACACTTTCTCCAGGAGAGACAGAGACGAGCAAGTGATCCCCTCCTCGGGGTGTTTCAGATATATCCTTCTAGAAAAATTGTATACATATGTGAGCAAATACATATTTTCCCTCCTGCCATTTTTTACACAAGTGGTAAGTTACTATACACACAGGTCTGCACGTTGGTTTTTGTTTGTTTGTTTGTTGGGCTTAACAATCAATTGGAGATCTTTCCACTTCATTAGTGAAGAAGGTAGCCTCCCTCTTTTTTATCAGTTGAATTGTGTTCCATTATGTGGCTATACCACAATCATTTAACCACTTTCCTATGAATATGCCTGTATTTTCTTATTTCCCTCTATTTTCCTTATCTTCTGATTCATTCTAAGGGAGATACATAGTTATCCCCCTATTGAAGATGCAATTTCTTGTCCTTGGAAGTCTCTGCTACAGAGACTCAGGGCCTCCTCTACCTTCTCGTGGTGCACGGAGTGTACCTAATTCATAGGCAGGAGAAAGGAAGCCGCCCCATCTCCTTTCCCCCGGGCTCCCAACCCGGGTTAGCTGTGGGAGAACAGCCGAAGGGCCTCCACTGTGACCGGGGCCTCCCCGTTCCAGCCTCAGGTCACACCACTTGCTCACACAGTCACCACCTCACCCATCCAGCGCCTTCAACACACCGAGCACTTTGCCACCTCAGGACCTGCCCATGTGCTCAGCCCTGCGCCTGGCACCCTCTTCACTCCAGTACTCACAAAGCTGGTCCCCCTCCTCCTGCAGGCCCCAGCCTAACACCCCGCCTCAGAGAGGCCTTTCCCACCCAAGCACCCCATGGCAATCCATATCGTAGGTCCTTTCACCCTTCCCATCCCACCCCCACCCCCCTGTTCCTGCCTCGTTGGTCCCCATGTCATCATCTTTCTTGGCCCTTGTTTGTTGCTTTCATGGCACTTTATACAAAGTACAATTATTTCGTATCCCTTAGGGGTTTACTCACTTATTTCTGCCTCCCCAGGAGAATGCGCCCTGGGAGAAAGGGCAGGGATCTTGTCTGGCCTGTTCCCGATCGGGTCTCCAGCGCCTGACGCCATGTCCTGCCCTCTGGGAACAGCCCGTACATAATTACGGAATGCAAAATGTTTTGCTAATATTTGCAGAGATGACTCTGCTGGTCCATTCATCAGTAAGCTGTGAGCTCTCAATTATGTTTCCAACATCGCCTTGTGGAGTGAAGGTGGGACCAAGCTGAGAGCTCTAAGGGTCCCGGCTGGCTCGGCCACCAACCCTCTACATGGTGACCGTGGCACTTGAACCTCAAGGCCACAGTCTCCTATCAGTAAAATGAGAAGCATCTGGATTCAGTCTCTAAATTTTCCTTCAGCTCTAATAGCCTATGAAGCAAGCAAATACAGTTGATAACAATACAGTACACAGTAGAAGACTATTTGGCAATAAAAAGGAACAAAGGACTGGTGCACGCCACAACATGGATGAATTTTGAAAACATGCTAAGTGAAGTAAGCCAGTCACAAAGGACCACGTATTTCGTAACTCCATTTAAATGAAATGTCCAGAATAGGCAAACCCATAAAGACAGGAAATAGATTGGTGGACCCCAGGGACTGAGGAGGGGAAGGAGGTGGAGGTGGGAGGGGGGAGAAAGGAGAATTATGGTTAGAAGGTGTCGGGCTTTTGGGGGTTGATGAAAATGTTCTCAAATTGATTGTAAAGATGGTTGCCTATCAGAATATAAGAAAGAAAACACTGAATTGTTTATTTTAAATGGATGAATTGTATGGCATGTGAGTTTATCTCAATAAAGCATATTTAAAAATTCTCTGTGTTTTCATAAAACTTTCACATACATTTTTTAAAATCAGTTTCTCAGTGTAATCTTGTATGTCTAAGAGAGAGCAAAGGAGGGGGATAACCATTTATTGCCTCTACAGTGTGCCAGGCAGCGAGCATGCTAGGTCCTATCTTGGCGTAAATAGTGTAAAACTAGATTGTAGGCTCCATACCAAGCTGCGTGAGTTTAAATTCTGGCTTGGCTCTATGTGAGCTGTGTGATCACTGGGCAAGTTATTCACCTCTACTTCCTCATCTTTACTGGTAGTACCTGCTTCGTGGAGTTGTTGTGAGGATTAAATGAGGCAGCGCATGGCCGGTGCCCAGTACTAACTATCACTTCCTCTGTGCTTAGGCGACATCACAGCCCCTCACAGCGCCCCCGGGACTGGCGGCACCGGCTCTGTCCACCGGCGAGAAGGCTGAAGCTTGCCGAGAAGACCACGTACCCACTGTTGTCATCAAGGTAAGACCGTGACCAGAACCTGGGTTTAAGCATCCCAAGTATCCTGCTTTGTCCTCTCTTTCATAAAACACCTTGAGCTCCAGTTCTTGGAAACATTGGTCCAAATCAAGCCCTACTCACTCCTCCTCTTAGACGCTCTTGTGTTCAAGGCGAGACACGTGCAAGATGGCAGATGGTCACCCAGAATCCCTTTTGCAGCAGGGCACACAGAGTGATGTTAGTTCCCTGGGACGTTCTGCCTTCTACCATGCCCATGCTTGGGTGTTGGGTCAAACCCATTATAGATGCAACAGCAATCCCAAAAGGGCAAATCCTTTTAGGTCATCAAAGATGTTTCCTTAAAATAGATTTTATCTTTTAGGGCAGTTTTAGGTTCACAGCAAAACTGAGAGGAAGACACAGAGATTTCTCAAGTACCCCCCACCCCTAAAAGCACAGCCTCCCCCATTGTCAGCATTCCCCACCAGAGTGGTGCGTTTGTTATAACTGATGAACCCGCGTTCACACACCATTATCACCAAGGAAGGTTTATAAAGCTTTTTACTTCCTAGCTCATTTCTGTTCTGTGCCTTAAATGGCCCCCCTTCGCGTTGCTGTGGGGGTGAGCAGAGCTACTTTGCCGCCCGCGGAGCCCCGTTCGGCTGCGTGAGGCCTCGCGGGGCGCGAGCCAGCGCCACCGGCACAGGAGTCCGTTCTCGGCCCGCGCCCCAGCACCGGGGCTGTTACACCGGTGAGAGTTCGTCTCAAGAGTTTCCTCTGTAAATATTATTTCTCCAGGATGTCCAAGTTTCATAGCTCATTTTCACTGGATTTCTTTCTGGCGGAGTTTCCTAAACATATATCCTTCTGCGAGCTGGGCTGGCAGGAAGGACTGACACCCAGGCCGAGCTGCTCCTGTAACTGACGAGGTGTCCCGCTCCCTCGTGTGACTTCATCCCAGTTTCCCAAGCCTACATCCTCCTGCAGCTGCCAACGATGGGGAGAGTGGAAAGGGGAGAGCAGGAGCAAGGGGCCCAGACGGAGAGGGAGGAGCTGGCCACACAGCCGCG